ATCCAATATGTAATTATCTATCCCGTTTCCATCCAACCAACTACATTTCATAAGTACCTCCCTCTTCCACCTTATGCCAAACCAATCAACTCCACATCACTCTCGAATCACTACTGACAGCGTAAAAATCACAGGCCACCGCAACCTTTTCAAGCAAAGTGAATCGCCGGAGCTCCTGACCAGGCAACTCGCATGCCAAGAAAGCAAGCAATTTGATTTACTTCCCCCACTTTTTCTTCAGCTGAGAACGCATGAATTCTTAGGATAGAGAGGCGTCACATTCTCTTCAGTGCCATCACAAAGCACAAAGCTGCCTGTTAAGAAGGCAGCCTTTACAGAGGCTGATGTGAGACGCATTAAATTGTGCCCAGAAGCAAATATTAGCCATGAGAACAACACTGATGATAGCTTGACTGATGCCGTGACGATGTTGAAGCCATGTGAAGAAGAGTCTCCCTTCATTCGAGGCCATCGCAGCGTCAGTTGGGTGCGTGCTTGACAAAGTTATCACTACGCCAGATATCAGTTGCGTACGTTCCCGGCAAAACCGATCTTCCCAGTACTCTTACACAATCATTCAATCATTACTGTCTGATTATCATATGGTTGCAAATTTTCACGATGATTCAATTTCGTTCCCTACTTTACCGCATCATGACGCAGTCTGTGTTGAATCATTTGGATCGCAACTTGATTGCACTTTTATCAGAAATTTATTGTGGTTGGAATAGTCTAAAACGCTGTCAACGATGCGGATGTCGGCCAGAAGACACTGTGCAGTTGAGGTATTTTACTTTACTTTGGCTGCTGATGTTACTATTGTGGTTGAGAAAGTTAAGTGGTGGCCACCACTGGCATCACAAATGCCACCGTGAATCTCCCTCTGCTCCTCGACAATCAGGAGGATGCTTATGAGGACTAAATGACGCTAACAGACGATCCCTACACTCTTGTTTTTTTGACCAATGTGACTGATTTGCGTACAAAATAGAACAGTCACCATTCTTTAGCACAGCCGCTCCATTGAACAGGTCCACTATGCAGTTCGCCTTGCGTGGCACCCAATGTTTCACATTATAGAGCCACGAAATAAACGAATTTCTTTACCTGATGCAATTGAGCATAATACCATAGAGAGACCGACTAAATGAACTTCGGTTTTATGGGATTATCTTTGCCACGCTGAAGAATAAACATAATTTTTGGCCATTAATGTTGAGGATATTATTTGTACACCTTATGATCCAACACTTTTTGGAAATTTTGTGCAAATTGCGTGAAGAAGTGGAGCCGAGAGACTCAATTACCTTTCACGTGTTGGTGCACGCAAACCAACACTCCAGCAAGTTTGATTATAGGAAACAGTGTCTACTGAGGCGTCCCAGTAGCAAAGCATGCTGCTGTTACCCCAAAGTTATGGCACAGGAATCGTAATTCTTGACATTAGTCTATTCACACTTAGCTGTCAGTCTAAAGAGCTGTCACCGGTGTTGCTCTTCTTTTCAATACTTGCTAACGACTTTGGTGCTTGATTTGCCCATCAGTGAATTATTAGGAGGACGATTTGCTGCACACATCCACTTGCGAATCTGGTCCATATAATAGACTGCTTCTCGCCACGGCATCGAACCATTCGCCGATGCTACATCACTTTTACTGGATCAACTGTTTCTCACTAATACGCTAGCTACGGTAGCAACAATTAGTGGTCCTTACCCTATAACCCTAATTCGG